TTCATCTCCGCCGAGTTCTATACATACCCGAATTTAAATGCAATTTACTTTCCGTTAGTCGGCTAGCCAGTGATATCAATTGTACATTGACATTTTTTCGGGATTTCTGTATTTTCCAGGACTTACCCTCGAGGAAGCTGATTGGAGTGGGTAATTTTCGAGGTGGCTTATACTATATGGATCCTCCGACAAATGGAGGGGTGGCAATGTCAGTTACTCATGATTTTCAATTATGGCATCAACGTTTGGGACATGCTTCTGAAAGGAGGCTTCAACAAATTCCTGTTCTCAAGGGACTCAAACGGAATAATGATTTTTGTGACTCGTGTTTACGAGCCAAGCAGACGCGTTTACCTTTCCCTGTTAGTACAAATAAAAGTGCTCATTGTTTTGAATTAATCCACTGTGACATTTGGGGTGGCTACAAGTGTGAATCTCTATCTGGAGCACGTTATTTTCTGACAATTGTTGATGATTTCTCTCGTGGAGTTTGGGTTTATTTAATGAAAAATAAATCAGAGGTTCCTTCTCTTTTGATACAGTTTTGTAATATGACGGCCAATCAATTTGACCAAAAGGTCAAGCGCATTCGTTCAGATAATGGAGTAGAATTTCAAACTATTGCACTACTTGACTATTACAGAGAAAATGGTATACTTGTTGAAACGTCATGCACAGACACCCCACAACAAAATGGGGTAGTAGAGCGCAAACATCGACATATATTAGAAGTTGCTAGAGCTCTTCGATTTCAATCTGGGCTACCAATTCATTTTTGGGGGGAGTGCGTTCTGACTGCCGCCTACCTCATCAATCGAATCCCGTCACCAATAATTGACTATCAAAGTCCGTTTGAAGTCCTGTTTAAACGAGCTCCGAGCTATGACCACTTACGGGTCTTTGGTTGTTTGGTATACGTCCATGATAATAAACGAAAAGATAAATTTGGTGAAAGGGGGAGTCCTTGCATTTTTCTCGGGTATCCGCACGGTCAAAAGGCTTATCGGGTCTTTGATTTAAAGAGTATGACCATTTCGAGCTCGCGTGATGTAACCTTTTTTTAACATTATTTCCCGTTCAAAATATCAGGAAGCATGGATGGGTCCTTCCCTGAAATTATTAGCAAGGCTTATCACCAGATTTTAAATATAGACACAAACTCCATACCAAGTGGCTCCCATGCACATGCAAGGAAATTACCTTCTTTGTCCACAAGCATAAGCAACAACGCACCTCCCAGGCTGGGCACTTCCAGTTCACATATCCAACCACCGCCTCATCTACCAGACCAAGGATCAAATCAATCTATCCCACAACATGACAATCCCCTGGGCACACCAACTGATGCGGTCAGTTCGCCCCTCCTTTCTCCACATGGGGCACCTTCCAATTCCTCTACCACAGTACATCCTATCACCGTGGATGAAAATCCTCCACACAAAGATCCAACGGTTCCAGAAGCGGGCCAGCACTCAATCCATAATTCTGAAATTGACACTCCCCAAATCGCTCTACGGCGTAGCAACAGGACACGCTACCCTCCTCGTCACCTTGATGTTTTTGAAATTGGCTTGCCCCCCTCACTCGATACATCAACACCCACTTCCAATTCGGCCAACTCGACGGTATATCCTATTTCCAACTTTTTAAGTTATGATAAATTTTCATGGACACATAAAGTTTTTTTAGCGGCCATCACCTCTCGTGATGAGCCAAAGCATTTCTCAAAGGCTATCCAAGATCCCTTATGGCGGGCAGCCATGCAGGCAGAAATCCAAGCTTTAGAAACTAATGGGACTTGGTCTTTAGTCCCCTTACCTCCTGGAAAAAAGGCAGTGGCTTCAAAATGGGTATATAAATTAAATACAAGCCTACCGGGGAGGTTGAACGTTATAAAGCCCGGTTAGTGGCTAAAGGTTTTACCCAAATTGAAGGAATTGACTTTCATGAAACTTTCGCCCCGGTTGCTAAATTGGTCACGGTGCGTTGTTTATTGGCAGTTGCCGCAAAAAGAAATTGGGTTGTCCATCAACTTGACATCAATAATGCTTTCCTTCACGGTGATTTACACGAAGATGTTTACATGCGGATCCCTCAGGGTTTTTCCAAAGATGGTGATAATCGCGTTTGTAAACTCCACAAATCTTTGTACGGACTCCGACAGGCCTCCCGAAATTGGTATCACAAATTTACAAAGGCCCTTTTGGACATTGGTTTTTTACAATCTAGAGCGGATCACTCCTTATTTATCTACCGATTTGGTCATGTTACCACTTTTGCCCTCATTTACGTCGATGATGTCATCTTGGCCGGCAACACCTCCTCTCACATCACGAATGTGAAAAAGTTCCTAGATACTGCATTTACCATCAAGGACTTGGGTCCCCTCAAATATTTCCTTGGCATTGAGGTCGCCCGTTCTCCTGATGGTTTCGTCTTAAGCCAGCGAAAATACACACTTGATATTTTGCAAGAGGCCGGTCTACTTGCTGGACGCCCAAGTCCATTCCCTATGGAACAGAATTTGAAATTACAACCAGATGATGGGAGCCCACCCGTTGATGCTTCCGCTTACCGGCGTCTCATTGGCCGCCTCCTATACCTCACTGTTACTCGTCCAGACATTGTTTTCTCTGTTACACAGCTAAGTCAATTTCTGAGCTCTCCGAGACAATCTCATCTTGATGCTGCCATTCGCATTCTCCGTTACCTAAAACACACACCTGGCCAAGGAATTTTTCTCTCTTCAGATGATAATTTGACACTATCTGGCTACTGTGACGCCGATTGGGGCGGCTGTCCATTCTCTCGCCGTTCTAACACCGGTTACTTCATCACCCTCGGGACATCCCCTATCTCCTGGCGCACCAAGAAACAATCTGTTGTTTCTCGTTCCTCTGCTGAGGCCGAATACCGCGCTATGGCTATCACAGTTAGCGAGATCCTATGGCTTCGCTGGCTCCTTCATGATCTCACACTCCCTCAAACAGAACCCACTACACTATACTGTGACAATCAAGCAGCTTGCCACATCGCCCTTAATCCTGTATTCCATGAACGCACTAAACATGTCGAAATGGACTGCTATTTTGTGCGAGAACGTGTAGCAAGTGGGGACATCACACCATGTCATATTTCTACCACACATCAAGTTGCAGACATTTTCACCAAAGCTCTCGGTACTGATCGTTTTCAATTACTTCGCAGCAAGTTGGGTGTTCGTAATCTTCACAGTCCAACTTGAGGGGGAGTATTGAATTTATATTTATTATTTTACCACTTGTACGCATGATTGTATTATGAGTTATATTTGGACCCACATATGTCCACTCCCATGCACCCGCTTAGCTATATATGCTCACCCATTTCCGCTGTAATACGTAAGTGAACATACTCGCATATGCATGTCGACAACATACACCCTTTGTATACTCAATCCCTTCAATCATAATATTATTATGAAGTTTATATTTTGCCTCATTACTTTTATCAGGGGGAATCTGAATTTGCACCCCACTTTTTGAGTGATATTGAACTTTGCACCCATTTTGAAAAAACTTTTATTTTGCACCTCGTTTCACTTAAAATTCCTTTCACTTTGCACCCCATTTAGAAATTTTTCTTCACAAAATGGTATGTGTTGTGGTGCAAATAGGGTTGTAAACGAAGCAAATAGTTTGTGCTCGATTCGCGATTCGAATTCGGAAAATTCAAATACAAATACAGATATGAATATTAAATTTGATTCGAGTTGTTATCAAATACAAATAAGAATATCAGTGTATTCGATTCGGATATTAATCAAATATATTCGATTAATAATAATGGTAATAATAATAATAATAATAATAATAGTAATAACACTATAATAACTTTTAAAAATAGCAATGCCCTCAAAGTGTAGCCCATATATACATTTATGCGTACAGATTCCAAGCCCATTTGTAATAAATAAGAATATAAATACGAATACTACAAATCAAATTTTTGGTTCAAATGTCTTTCAAATACAATACAAATAATTATGTATTCGATTTGAAGAATAAAATCAGAGTCATTTGGCTTTGAAAGATGTTCCCCGGCTCTTTTTAATAAAAATACAAAAGACTCATTTTGAGCAGCTAGTTGAGTGATTATAGAAGGCTAATTTTTCTGATACACTCCGGAGTGGTTGACGTCAATTATACTACGTATTACATTTCAATTTTTCACCTCATATCAGATCAACCCACGTGCAATGGAACATAACGATTGACTTGAAAGGGAACACGTTAGCAGAAGGGTCCTTTGACATATTATATTATGTCATTTTATTTTCATGGGTCATCTGGAACGCGTTAGACTTGAAAGGGAACACGTTCGCAGAAGGGTCCTTTGACATTTTATATTATGTCATTTTATTTTCATGGGTCATCTGGAACGCGTTAGACCGTCTCTTTGTGCTTTAGCATAAAATTAAGACTACGTACATCCGACTCTCTTACCCTATGTAATAGGTGGGGGAGCTTTTGCAGCAATAGGGTAATTTTGTTGTTATGGACTCAACATTCTGTTAATCCTTCCTTAGACAAAGTGTTATCAATGTTGATAATGATAGGCATTCGTGGACTTGTTTGAAAACTCAATTTGCATTGGAGAAGGAGATGCCTATAAATTTTTGAATTTGTATGTTGACATCTAAACCTTGAAACAAGGAACTAGTTCTATTAATTTTCAGTTGATTATAAACAAGGATAACCTATGTGAATGCAGTAGGGACAAGAAATGGAATAAGCGAATCTAATTTCAGGGACAAATTTTTCAAATGTCCCTACTATCATACTATGGAAAACGTAATCACAAGCAGGCTAAATGCAGCAAAAAGCATGGAGTAATGCTTTTAGAGTTTTAGATACCTTACTCTATACTATAATTAAAAAAAATCTATATTAATATTTCAAACTACACAACAGAAATCCCACAAAGAATGCGATCTATGAAGGATCCTGTACTCTGTACAACAAGACAAACTCGTGGACATTTACACCATTCTATTAGAGTACAATGTGCATACATATAGACATCAAAACCATGGGTTAAGATCAGATCGAAAACCACTCACAAAAAATATGTTTGTTTGGGTAAGAAAAATGCAATAATTTGAATGAGCACAAAATCACCTTTAAAAATTAGTTTCATTGTTAAGCATTATCCATCCTGCAGTAACGGAAGAATCAGGTTTCTATCCATACTAACAATGATAAATATGATGGTTGAAACTCAAGCAATACTAATATGAGAAAGACATCATAGAAGGAAGCTTTGTTGGCCAAATTGGATGGACAAGAGGAAATGATATCACCCTTGTTGTTTTTAAGTTTACGGGCTCTTGAAGCTCATGAATCAATTCACACACATCCTCCATAAGACTATACTGAAAAATACTTTTACCCCATACCACAAAAACCACATCGCCATTGGTTGGATGAAGAAATGGAGGCGCAACTAACAGCTTCTCATGGTTCGGCCTTTTCGGGTACCTCTTATCGTGAACCAAAACCCATGAAGAACTCAATTTCCAAACCTTCAAATTAACAGTCACTTTTTTCTTGTTTGTGCATGTCAACAGCACAACTTGTAATAACCTCAACTCTCCATCCACTGCTCCAATTTGTTGTTTGACACGACGGACAGATGAATTTTGCTGCAATCTAAACCACCAAAAATCGTTAGGGAAGTCGATGATACCACATCGTCTTTCCCGCAAATCTGATGAAATAACTCTGTTCACATCCTGTGTGCACTCCAGCCAAAAAAAAATTTCATTGCATGTCACCACATCTAGAGCAGAGCAGAAACATGGCACCATTGGTGTAGGATACAAAGTGTTTCTTTTCTTCCACTTTCCAGACTTTGAACAAAATACTGCCATAGTCTGGAGGGTATCAGGGTGTTCTGAATAAGGGTGGGGATGACGGAATATTACTACCTTGAAGTGGTGGTTAGATTGTTTTTCGCTATTACCAATTACTAGTGCATGCCCAACATTGGAATGATCAAATATTTTGTGGTCCTTAGGTAGCTGATAAAATTCTTTCGTGGTTGGATTGCAAACATAGAGAACATCCGAACAACGTGGACCAGGGGACACAAGCAACAAGTCATTACATGATGCTCTTATTGTCACTGGTGAAGGCAAGAAGTCCAAATAGGAACTACTACTACTGCATGTTGCAGCCGCCTCTTCATGGTGATGGAGAAAATTTGACTCTTTAGATAATAACCTGCAAATGGGATTAAAATATGGGGGCACCAACGAGTTATTTTTCTCAGCTTTATGAAATATGATGGTGTAGGGCAACGGATAGCGGTCCGGGAGCTCCTGATGTTGGGCAATGAATCTTCGAATGAAGTGACAGTGAGATATCAAAGAATGCCAACGGGGAGAGACGACCCCACATAGGATAGCAGATCGACAATTGCGAAGACGAAGAAATATCTCCAATAATATGTCATTATTGGCTTCCTTCAAAATGTTAGGTGCTACTGATTCATTATTTGGATCATCTCCCAGCTTCACTTTCTTTCCCTGGAAATACTATATCACATATAAGTTAGAACTACTAGCAAAATTTTCTATTGATGATAAATAGTCCAAACACAACAACAACATCATAGCCTTAGTCCAAACACAGAAGTACAGAACAACAAAAAACAAACTTAATTGAAGCTTTTATTTCATGAAAGACTGCCCCTCCAACTTTTGGATATAGTAGCTCTTCATCAATTGGTTAATTCCTCAGTGGAAAATAATCCAGCTTTAAACACGAAATCCATTCAAACCCGTAGGACTTTAAAATATAAGATTTTCTTTCATCAATTAGTGCAAAAGAAATCGGTTTTGAGATTAAAGTCATTAAACAATAGAGTTAGAATGACTGAAATTTGTAACCCCGTAAATAACATTCAGATAATAACAAAGTCAGTCTAATGCAATGAGACGCGAAATTCCATTGTTTGGATGTAAGACGAAGGAAATAGAAGCTATAATTTCATTGAATCACAGAAGCGAACTGATATAGCAATAGTAATAACTACAAAAACACATCTTACTTGTTGAATTTCATCAACCGGTAATTTTCTCGATACAAAATACTCAATCTTGGAAATATGAAATCAGGTAACAATCAAAACTTTTCACTTAAAATCGGGAACAACTCAATAAATTAATTGATAAAAGAGCAAAGAAAAAACGCGTGTAAATGACCTGAACATTTGAGCAATGAAGCGTATGGGATATCATTATTTTCAACTTAAATCACAATCACACAGATTTGAAGTGGTTAAGGCTCTTTAGACTTCTCTTTTGATCAGATCCTAGAGCTTTGGAAGACTAAGCCGATGAGTCGAACAACGACGAAGGATGTTTTTTTGGACTATTTTCAAGTCTCAATCAGATATTAGAGAAAGTTTTCTTTTGCACTTATGAGTTATTGCCATTTTCAAATCTCAAAACCGATTTCTTTTACACTTTTGGTATTTGATTTTTAACTTTTTCATTTTTAGTCCTCGATTATTGTGCTAGAGACATTTTTAGTCCCCGACTTCAAAGTCTTCCACATTTAGTCCCCTGAATATTGTCAAAGTGACACAATAAGTGGAGGACTAAAAATGTCATTATTATGATAATTGAAGGACTAATAGTGTCACTTTTATGAAAGTTGAAAGAGTAAATATGGAAAATTTCAAAGACGGGTACCAAAAGTGTCTCTAGCGCAATAGTCAAGGACTAATAATGGAAAAATTAAAGTCGGGTACCTAAAGTGTCAATGACATAATAGTCGGAGAACTAAAAGTGGCAAAAACTCTTGTATTTATTCCTTTTTTCAATCCTAGACCAGATCAGACTAAACCAGATCAGACCAGATCGGACCAGACTTTCGTAGTTATAAAATACACAGAGACCAGACGTCTATCAGATCAGACCAGATTAGGCCAGATCAGATCAGACCAAACCAGACTAGACCAGCAAATTTCAGTCCAAAAGAAAACATCCTTAGACTTTCACATTTATAAAATACGCAGAATTCAAACATTTACTAAATCATATGAGTTCAGATCAGTTCATATCAGATTAGACCAGCAAATTTCAGTTCTAAAGAAATCATTTGAATATTACCGCTCTTGGTTGTAAGCGGCGTTTATTAAGATTTGCGTTAATAAGCAACGCATGTAATAAGAAGTGTTTTAAGCTCATATTTACTTCACAGTATTTGAAACAACGTTTAACATTAAAATGTTCAAACTAACTTTATACATAAATAGACACACAAATATTCATGTATAAAATATATATATTATATGTGGGGGCCTACCACCTAACCCCTACTCCCCTACCACTTCATTCGTGTACCCATATCCCTGCCCCTAACTTGTACCCCATCCTAACCCAACCCAACCCCCTACCCCAACCTACACTGTACCCCTGACCCCCTTCCTATCTTTACCTTACCACAACCATACCCCCAATACCCTACCCTTACCCAACCTGTACCTCGTTATCCTTACCCCGACCACTTTGGGTAGCTAAAGGTAGGGAAGGGGTTAACGGGTGGTAGGGATACATGTCACGAGTAGGGGTCAGGGTAGGTGGTAGGGGTATGGGTCAATACTAGAATTTTTGTTATTTGGTACTACTTATTTGCAGCAATCATGAAAGAAACCATAAGAATAACTCAAAAATTGAACCAATTTGTTGCGGTCAGGGGCGGAACTACGCCTAGGGGTAGGGGGCCATGGCCCTGTTGGAAAATGTGTTAATAAATTGCATTAAATGGTCATTTTGGGGAAATTTTTTGAGTGGGATCCACTTCAAATTTGGGTCGGGTCAAAGTGGTTTTGGATTGTCCTTGCTTAGAGCTACAATTCGGTATATAGTACGCTCAAAACGGATAATGGGTGAAGGAGAAATTGATTCTCGAAGTTCACTCGTTGAAATGGAGAAAACTAGGAAAATGTGGGTTTCTAGTGTGGTTTTTGCCCACTCCGGAAAACCTAAGAGACTTTGAACCCTTTATAAAGGGAAATCCCTCTTAAGGAGTTAAGAATCCTAAGGGTAAAGGCTCTCTCTCGCGCGCAGGGGGTGCGAATCAAATCCCGAAACCGGAGAACAAAAAGCGCGACTTGCGTGCGCGGGCGATCTGCGGACACGAATGCCGTCCGAAAATCTATCTTCTAAGGATAATGTTAATTTTTGTTCGGCTGACTCAGTCAATGCCCAACGTCCATATGCACGTTTTGCACCCCGGGAGGCAACAAATACGTTTAAGGAAATCGTGCGTAGCACGAGCTTTGACTATTTTCTGTTTTGGTTAGTCATTTTATTTAATTGTTTATTATAATTTTTTTTTGAAACACACCCAACAGGCCCCTCCCAACATTTGAATTTATTATTATTATTAGTATTACTTACTCCCTCCGTCCCCGAAAGAAGTTCCCACTTTCCTTATTTGGATGTCCCTAATTTAAGTTCCCATTTCCTTAAATGGAAAGTTATCTACATCAAAATAGTGTCGAAACAATGTCAAAACAGTAAAATTTACCCCCTGGTAAGTTTACTTGCATAAAAGTGTGTGAAAGTCAAATGAGAAACTTCTTTCGGGGACGGAGGGAGTATTAGTAAAGGTTTTATACTAGCAACCAGCAACTCAGCAAGCAAGCAACGTTCGGTGAGTATAATGTTTTGGACTAATAAGAGCAAACAACGTTTACAAGAGCAAACAACATTCTAGGGAGAGTGAGACAAGATGTGGGAGATCTAGGGAGTGGAAGTGGTGGCATGTGAGTGAGGCTTGGGGGCAGGGATGGAAATATAATCCGATCCGATGGATACCCACATCCAATCGAATCGATCAAAACGGGGAAAACTGTGTGCGAGGGAGAAGTCGACCACGTACGTACGGAGAAGTCGACCCCGTGCGGGAGGGAGGGGGTAAAAAGCGGACCTATTTATAAGGTGTGCAAAATGTGTACAATATATGTGTAATAATACCATTTATTTTTGAAGAGTGAAGCAAAATGTGGGAGATTTTGGGAGTGGAAGTGGCGACATGTGAGAGAGAGGCTTGGGAGCAGGGATGGAAATATAACCAGACCCGATGGATACCCACATTCAACCAAACCGATCAAAAGAGGGAAAACTGTGTTGAGTGGGTAACGGGTACAGGGCGGGGAATACTCGGTTTAAGTAAATGGGTAATGGAGCAGGTAGGGTTTATACATACCCGCCTCATGACCCGCCACGTAACTGCACCGTTCAGTTCCGGTATGGTTACCCAAACCATTACCCGACACATACTATTATCTTATACTACCTCCGTTTTGAATAATGCAACATGTTAAATTTTACAGTATTCATGAGTTCTACTTTTCATTACGTTTTATTTATTAATTTTTTTAATAGAATATTTTTAAATTTGTCTCATTGTAAATTTTCAAAATCTATTTTTAAAATATTTTACTAATAGAGTATTTTATGTATTACGTAGTAATGGTCAAATAGTATTTTAAAATCTATTTAAGAACGGAAGAAGTATATTTTAATAGATTATATCTCTGCTTAAATAGTACGGAGTAAAATTCAATCTTGGTTACATGGTCCTTTTTCTGTCCAATTTAAGAGAAAATTATCATACGTGTGACTAAAACTAGTCCTCTTTCTCAATATATGACCATACAAGTTTTTTTCCCCAAATAATACCTATTTGATAATATTTAAATAATACTTTAATAAATAAATATTTTATACAGCCTAAAATGCCCTTACCTTTTTATTAATAAACTCTAATGTTCTCCCTCATTCTATCATCGCTTCCATCTGCTTGCATAGTTCCATCTACGTGTATTGCCTACGGCAAGTAGCAGCAAGACACTAGACTGGCAAGAAGCCCATCGCAACACTACCAAATGTTTGGGCAAACACTCTTCCTCTGCCGCTGGATTCCCTCTGCCCGGCGGCTCTGCTCAGTCTCATATTTTCCTATGTACAAAGTGCAAAATGGACATATTTTAAAGAAGGGTATTTTTGTCATTCAACAATTAAACATAAATGAAATTTTATTTATTTTTTGGATTTTCGGTCATACAATAGTAAAAAAACTAGGTTAGTCATATTTAGAGAAACTCAAAGAGTTTTAGTCCTATTCCGAGAAATTTCCCTGAAACTGTCCACTTCCGTTCTATATTTAACATTTCGCTACTAACCGGACGTTTACACAGGTAACGACAGTTCAACTCTGTTTTGGTTATCAACCGGCGCCAACCGTACGCTAAGTTGTTTCATTCTCTTTGAAGTGGAGAGGCAAGTATATTTCTTCTCCTTCTCGTTGTATTCTGCCACAGTTTCTTCCCTTTCTCTCCCAACTTTCTTTTTCTGCGAATTGTTCTTCTATGACAACAACAACGAGGTATTCTTCTTTAGACCTCCATTTCTAAATCCATTTATTTTTCTTCCTCTGAAACTGTTAATTCGTATGGTCGGATTTGAAGTTCGATGGTTACGGTCTTACGACACACACGACAGCTTTCCGAATCAACACTGAGCAACTTCAGTACACAATTAGGCCTCCTTTGGTTCAAAGGAGGGGAGGGAGGGGAGAGTCAGGGGGAAGGGGAACGGGAAGGAAAGATTTTGATAAAAAATTGTGTTTGGTGGAGAGAAAATAAGAGGAAAATTTTAATGAAAATATTTTCCAAATTTACTTTTATTTAATAGCTTACTTAAAATAAATAGATACATCTCTAACTATTGTGAATATTACTCCTATGATCATGAGTTATAATATTTTTTTTACTTTTTTAATTTTATTATTTTTTAATTATCATTTTTTAGTTTTTAAATTTTTAATTATTTTTAATTTTTAATTTTTTAATTTTCATTTTTATTTAATTTTTTAGATTTTAATTTTTATATCGGATTATCTTCGCGCACCCCAACATTTACTCGGCGCACCCAAAAAATTATTTTTTTGGACAATTATACCCTCCTCTGCAATTCCATGATTGTAATCCAGAAATGCAAACCGGTAATCAGTTCCGACCAGCCACTTGATCTTCGCCTGATGCTGGATTACCCCATCTGGTACCGGTGATAAGCTCCGATGACTACCAAATGCAACAAGGCATTCCACATCGCCTATATCCACACGCCATCATTGAGCCGAACTTGTGTAACGGTGTTGATCGTCGGAATCCACAAGCTTGTGTCTTCAAGGAAAAGTTTATTTGCAACGCGAGTTGTTTCGCTCAGTATGTATACCACTCGGAAGGGACACAAAGATTCGGAGTGAGTTTAGGGCTATTTGTGGATTGCCTCAGTACATTTCCGGTTCCCGGGAAATCAAATAATATTGAACTTCGTTACCCATGGTCTGATATGGAACTTCTTTTCAAATATGTTGATTCATCTAATGCTTGCATTTATGCGAA